ATTGCTTTTAAAACAGTTTCCTTTAGCTTTCCTCTAGATAATAAACCTTATGTCAGTGTACCAATTGCAGCACTTCCAATAAATATCACATTAGTTTATTCTGAAAAGGTGTGGCACTGTTTTTGGTAAAAATAGGCAAGGCAAGGCACATTTTTTTATACAGCACCTTTCATACACTATTAAAAATCAAATTAAAAATTAAATTAGACTAATAAAGTGCTGTTACAGGACAGAAGTGCAGTAGAGTTAACAGTGTTTTAAACTGAGCTCAAAGCTGCTCAAATAGGAACCTTTTTAGCCTGGATTTAAAAGTGTCTAGTGTCTGGGCTTTTACACTGCTCTCTGTTAACTGGTTCCATTTAAGAGCAGCATAGTAGCTAAATGCTGCTTCTCCATGTTTAGTCTTTACTTCCGACAGGACCAACTGACTGGTTCCTAATGATCTAAGAGTTCAGCTTGTCTCGAATCGCTGCAGAATATCAGATAAATACAGTGGTCCTACATCAATAAGCGATTTATAGACCAGTAATAGTACGTCAAACTCTATTCTGTAACTTACTGGTAGCCAGTGTAAGGATTTAAGAAGTGATGTGTTCCCTTCTGTTAGTCCTAGTGTGAAATCTAAAAGCTGCATTTTGAATCAACTGAAGCTGTTTGTCTTTTTTGGGAGTCAGTAATCAGTTTTTTGGGAGTCAGTAATCAGTCCTGCTAGAAATAAAGGTGTGGATGAGTGTCTCCAGGTCCGGTTTAGTCAGGGAATCTCTGATCTTGTTGATATTCTCAAGGTGATAGCTTATTTAGTGACTGCTATGACATGAGATCAGAGTTCATTAGCACCAAGATTATGTGCTAGTTCTTTAGATTTTAGTGCTCTTGAGTCCAGATAGACAGCTAGTCTGTGCCACTCATTACTATTTCTGACTAAAATAATCTCTCTTTTATCTTTATTCAACTGCAGAAAGTTTTGTCCAGTCCAGTTACTGACGTGCTCAAGACACTTGCAAAGTGAGTCAAAGGGACCATAGTTGTTTGGCGAGAGTAAATCTGACTATCATCTGCATAGCTGTGGTAAGATATCCCATAGTCTTGTAGTGTTTAGCCAAGAGGAAGCATGTATAAATTAAATAAAAATAGAAAATCACTGAACTCTTCAAGGAGACCTTTCACAGTCTGTGTTAGCATTTAAGAGTGTTATTTTCCAGCACGGAGAGCATGACCTCTTAGCCACCAGTCCACAGGGCCCTGGCAGATTCCTTAGGGCAGTCTGAACTTGTCTGGACTCTTCAGTGCTGGCACACACTTGGAGTGCCCTCACTGGGCAGAGCAGCCATGTTCACACTGCACTCATTAAGCAGTCTGCAGGGCTGTCTCTTGCTGCCACAGGCAGAAGAGGGGGTTTTCAGTCCACTCAATGCATCGTTTCTGTGGCATTGTGTCAGACCTTGTGAGAGCTGACAGCTTACATTATGCTTCAAATTCTCAGAGCAGATGTCTGATTTCATAGCAATTTGCAGTGCTCAAAATTTTACTTTCCATGTTTGTGGACGGCTGGTTTACTGTGGCAATCAAAGTGATTTCTCAAAATTCTAGTAAGGATGTCAGTTACGATGTAAATTTCTGACATAACGATTTGATGCAATAACAGCAAATCATGCATCACAAAAACTCAGATTTGACCATGATTTGTTCTGATTATTTTGTTGTGATTTAGAATTATTTTAAAAATACACAGAGTACACGAATGTGACTGGAAGAACTATTCAAACAATTAAAACGATACACCATTCTTTTCTTGGATTTTTAGATTTGAAAACAAGAACTTCGGCCAATAAATGACAACATACTTTATTAAGCATAATTATAACAGATTATAGTACATTCCAGACATAACATTAGAAAAATCTCCACGTTCAGACTGATGCATATTGATGCCTCGATGCCTTTACACAACCCTGAATTTCTGTGTGACATCACAAGGCTATATCCCTGTAACTGGAATTAAAAGAAAACAAGGAAGGCTTTCCAGTAGTTTTGTTCCCCATCTCAAAGCACTGCAGTACCAAATATCACCTACAGGGGTACCGTGGAGCTGAGGGCATGTCAAGCCTCCTACAGGAACATCAGATACAACCATATCCCTGTCACTGGAGCTGTCCATCATCCTGTCAGTGGGTGACTCTAATCACTACTGCTGAAAGGATTTGCCAGAAAAGGAAATTTACACCAGAAGCCTTCTCCGTCTCTCCATTTTACTGTTAAATATATCAGAGACACTATTTTAAGGTGGAGTGGCATAAAAGAAAGATATGTTTACAGTCTAAGACACAAACATGCACCCTACAAAGGCACAGGTTGTGTATAAATCATATCATAACTCACATTACAAATGCTGAGTTAAACATTAACACAATAAATACCTGGACACAATTATGCAATAAAACAAATTCAACTGGAATAAGACACCTATCTACATTTTAGTGGTAACATTTAAATGCTGAACATTGCAGAATTGGCAAGTCTCATTCCTGGTTTTTGAGTCCTGATTGACTGATGAATAATTTTTGTGTTTAGTCATCCAATAATTGATTTTTTAAGGCATGTCTGGTTTTCTGATATATCAAAAACAATTATGTTAATATCAGTTAATATTTAAAATAAGAAGCTAATTAGATTTTTAAAACATGCAGGTGCATGAACTGCTGTAGGCCAGCTAAAAAGGAAATTAACAGACAGTAAAGTCCACTTAGGGGAAAAAGAGAGGTGAAAACTCATTCCCTCTCCACAGCCCACTTCTTTCATTCATACACTGAGGAGAGCTCTCTCTGGGGAGACGTGATAACTCTAGACAGATGCAACACCAGAGCTGTTCGCCCTGCCATAATTGAAGCCGACCCTTTTGATTGGCCAGTGATTAAAGTCATCAGTACAGGCGAAGAGGTCAAACCTCTTTGCATGAGACAGGATTTTGTTTTTACCACTCAAAAAGCAAGAAACATCTCAATGACAGCTAAACACTGAAAGGTCAGTGGACTGCCTTTTCATGACTTTTGAATGCAAATGACACATGTCCTACTGCATAAGCTGTGCCTGAGTTGTTACGGACTGTTTCATCATCGCATAACAAAGCCAAAAGAAAAATACATCACCGAAGTGGACACGATGGACAATACCTTTTTGAGCAGTGTTCAAAAGGGCTTGCTCGTTTTGCTGGGCAAATTAAGTCAGCAGGTAGTCATGAAAATCGGAACTCCACCTCCCACTGGGCAGATGAATTCAGGCAATCCTTTGCTGGCTGGAGGGATTTGCCGGTGAGCTGGTGCACTTGATGTGATCATGGCTTTTCATTGATTCTGCACGATGGACGCTCAACGAGAGCTGCTCCCCTGGGTTTCTCTAAGCCCTTTAACTCCAGCCATGAATGCTCCCTAATGAGCAACAGGAACCAGAGCAACACCATTATGCTTCTAACTGCTAACTATGATTTGCTGTGTGAAATCATGAACCAGGGTAATATGAAGAGCCAAACAGGTTCCTCTTCACAAACAGGAAAGAGTTACAACCCTTCTCATCTTAACTTTCGACATGAAAAGATTAACATAACATCAAGGGACCAATGTCACAAATGCTTAGATTAGAGGAATTCTCAGTAAAATCACTGTCAACACTGCACTTCACAGACTCAGTTCCGAAATGATGCAATGTACACTTCAGTTGGGTAACCATAACGTGATAGAAATAGCAAAACTGTTTCATCTAATCGGAAAAATGGATCTGTTTAGAGTAATTTCATGAAACAGTTATGATGCTGCATCAAAATGATAAGTCAGAGCAGAATACAAATCTTAAAATCAGCTCATCTACACTGCTTCCAATGAAATACTTCCAATAAAACTGATTCTGATACTGCTCTACAGAGGCAAATAACAATAGTCAAGCCAACAGTAAAACTGAGAAAAACAGCTCCAAAGTTCTACTAATGTCCAGTCAAATATGTTGTAAGTATATATGTGCTACTAATATTGACTAATATATATGCGTGTTCTATCACTTACATACCTACAACATATTTGACTTGGATAACAGCAGAATGTCAGTCTCACTGTTGGCCTAGTTACTGCTTTTTGCTTTTCTTCAGCAGTCCAACAAACAGACCGTAAATGGCCACTGTTATTCTATTTTGGAAATAAAAGGTTCAGTGTGTGAAATCTAGTTCTGTGGAAGTGCTTGAATGGATTTGTGCCGCAAAGGCTTATTTAAGGGGGCGAAATGTTAATAAGAGCAGCGGCTTGGTAATCCTCTAACCAGCAGCAGGCCTGAATGCCACCATACACCACAAGAGGTGGTTAGTAGTCACATGTACTCTCCTAAGAGAAAAAAAGACAGCGCACTGTCCCTCCCATGAGGCACAGAACTCAGCGGACCTCCCTTGGAAGCCAGCAAAAGCTTGGCAGAGAGCAGAGGAATCTGTGCTGAACAGGCCGGTCTGAAAGGGGGCACTCAGAGCACTGGAGAGAGGAAGAAAGACAGAAAGACAGAGGCTGGTCTGCAGTAGCTTGGGTGTGGAAGGAAGAGCTTGGCTGACAGATGCTGGTCCAGAAGGCCACTAACAGGATGAAGAGAGTCGGCCACGTGGACCCTGAGAGATTAGGCGTGGATGGGTCGTAAACAGATTAGTCCTGAACGAGAGGCTGCATCTTTAACCTTCTCACTTCTGTGACACCCATCCTCCACGCACGCATCCAAGCCCACATTCACACACCCTCTCTCAGCCACAGTTTACAGCCTGTGCCAGGACTCACTGCTGCTGCCCTCAGTGATCAAATCCTCACCCAGGAATCTGCACCATCTTCCCGCACTTGTCGACCAACTGGCCTTTCCATGGAAACCTGGACACGGCGTCCGTGGAAGCGTACTTCCCCACCCAGTGGACGCCAGATAAGTCACTGAGGACCGCACCCACTTTACCCCCCAAATGAACGTCTTTACATCCAAAAGGAAATAAAGCACTGCATCATGCCATTGAAAACAGGACTATTTCTCTTCCTGTTCTTGTTTACCCTCCAAGCCACCAGAATCAAAGGTAAGCCAGCCAGCACTCAGGGGAGAGGTGTAATGCTGTTTGCAGAATGATGTTTGCTTGGGTTGTTTCTTGCACCCTGTTGTGAAGTTTAATTGAAGCCCAGAAACTCTGCTCTCAGTTCATGAAAGATATTGATTTCTGAAATCCTTTATTTTAAAGCCCTACTTTCCTCCACATGTGATTATAGTACAGATATTAGCCTTCTACAACAACAACAGTTGTTGTGTCATAAAATCTGAGCACTGGCTAGTTACAAAGATTGTGTTTCTTTCACATAAAGGTAGGGAAAGGGTAAGTTTATGGATGAATTGACTGGCCAAATATTCAGGACATAAAGGAGCTTCTTAACTGAAACCACCTTGGCTTTTCAGCTTTTCCACAGCACAGCTAGCTAAAAAGCTCTCACAATAAACATTTGGTTCCCATTTGCTATGCTTTTCAAATCTGTACTTTGCCATTCAGTACAACAGGATAGTACAATATGCTCAGAAGGTTTTGTAGTACATTTCAAGCCGGTTCCTTGTGCCTGTATGATTCAGCTGTTGTGTTTGTGTGCGCCTTTCATTAGCGGAGCGAGACAAAAGGCATTCTGTTTGTGGCCGTGTGGGACACTAATCTTTTCTGGCTTGTAGCTGCAGTGTGAGGCCCTCACAGCGCTCCACGGGATCACAGCCCATTTAGCATCAGTGCTTCTCATGTCCACACATGCGCACCCCTACATCACAGAGACCGAGACAGACCAGGAGAATGGTTATTCAGCTCCCCAATTGGTCAGTGTTCGTAAATGAGACCATGCCATGGCTTTGATATCCTTCACTGAATGTAAACAATTATGGTACAAACTCAAACCTGACTGACTTTCTTACCACATCAGTGCGGATGCAAGCCAGAAAGAGAGCTGACTCACACAGGGACTCTAAGAACGACTGAGGCTCTTCCTGGTAATAGTCACTTCACAGGGAAAAGCAAATGGGTGGCATTATTTTGATCCATCAGCCGTCATTGCTGTTTCCCTCAGGATATGGTGGTCAAGCAGAGAGGGCGTACGCTGTTTTTGATCAGAGAGAGAACCTCATTGACTCAGTTGAACATGTGATAACAAAGGCTGTCATGACTACTTGATTAAACTTGACTATTTGATTTTAAAAAAACATCAGTGAAAATATATCGTCTCAACGAATCCGGAAAGATTAGTTGTCAGTTTACGTAACGATGATGCATATTTTAAATTCTCTTACTGGTCTTTCTTAAAGTAAGAAGTAGAGCCTGATAGATATGCCCATTTATATACATTTTTTGACTAACAGGTTTTTAATGTTTTTAATCTTCTTAAAGGCTTCCTAGTTTCCCTTTTGTTTTTGTTCAGTTAAGTCAATGTTTATAGCTTCACATTATTATATAAACTCTAATTACTTCATTAATCATGAAAAGAATCGGTAGATTACCTGACTGCAGATATAATCAATAGTGACAGCCCTTGTGATAACAGATCATTTTTTTATTCACTGCTCAATAATGTACAAAGCCAACACCATGCACACATTCATACTATCTGGCCACTGGACAAAAAATTTAATGACCAATTGATTTTATCTTTGAAGTGATTTGGTAAAATAAGCTTTCTCATCGTTTAGGCTTAGTAAGCCTGATCGGTTTAAGAAACAGAAGGTCACATTGCTCAGGTCTTTTACAGACAGCAGGCCTTAGTCATGCTGGATCCATCTACAGAACAGATACATGTTCGTGCTCATCAGCATTCATATTTTAATACCAATATGTGTGTGACTGATCTCACATTAATGCCAGTGAGCTTCCCTTTAAGCAAGGCTTAATGTCTTAAGAAGGTCTGTGAAGTTTACCACCTGGTCACACAATGCACCACATTAAAAACACAGTTCTGCTGAATGGATGGACTGTGCTCTCTAGCCTTGCATAATAACATGGCACTACCTTGCCGTTACGTGAACAAGAAAGCTACAAAAGGGCCAAGAACTTTTTTTTATTCCTCAAACAGGATGAATTCATGGGAAATAAGCTGTGACCTCATTTAGAAAGGGTAATCCACCATTCAGTGAAACAGGAACTAGAGACATTAGTCATAATAGCAGTTAAAAGAGAACAAAAAATAGTAACCACTAACTTTTTAAATTTTTATTTTATATTGTTGTAATGCTAAGATGGTGGAAAATACATGTTGGTGATAAAAGTGTTACTGTGAGAACATGCAGCATTGCTATCAATACAATCCAAGTACATGTGATCATCACCCAAATCCAAGTACATGTGATCATTTTATGCTATTGTACATATATGTGATTCTCACAAAGGCACTGCTATTATTACTACTAAGCTGACATGTATCAAGAGAAGCACTGTGCAGTAGCAAAACATATAACACAGTCTGTTTAGTTTTATTACATTTGCAGTCATGCTAATCCGATAGTATATGAAATGGTATTGCTATGTTGTATATACACCTTGTAATGGCAGCATCTACCAACTCTCTACAAACATTCAGAGAATTACAGCAGGGCCAGAATGCGCTTTATCCAGGTCTTGCCAGCAGGAATTAGATAATAGATTTGGCATACTGTGCAATCTGGAATTGTAATTACTCTTGGAAGCACTTTGTCTTATGGATTTAAGTCAAGGTAAGAACAGTCAGAACTGAAATCAGCTTAGAAAGCAGATGATATCATGAAAGACAAAATTACAGAACAATTTATACTGTAAATATCTGTACACATGCATATACTATATATACACATTCATATAGCATATCCTTATTTTCTCACATATATCTGCTTTATATATTGTTGCTTTCCAAAAAAAGGGTAACACATGGACTTAACTGTTACTTTAAGTTAATGTAAAGACGTATTAAGTTTTATTCCAATTGATTCTAGAGCATTTCTATTGGTCTGTTTATCATTAAATTTTTACCCAATGTAAAGGACAGTTGTCATGGTCAAAAAAACAAAAATTGACAAAAATTGAGACTTTTTTTGTTGTTTGTTCTGGATGGCAATGATATATTGTTCGGATATATTTCTTACACTGTCAGTGTTTCTGCACAATAACTTCCAGTATACTGCCATCTGAAACCAAAGACTCGAGAACTTTATCAAACTACTAAATGTACTTAACATCTGTCTTACAACAGCCTGTCTGTGCTTCTTAAAGAACCTGATCCTATTAAATGAACGTTCAACACACCAATCATAGACTTAACAGCTCTTTGGCTGAATGTAATTACATTTGGTGCAATTATACTGCTCCTAGAAACTCCTCTCACTACACCAAACCTCACTATGGAGAGAAACCATTAAAAAACAAAACATTATTTTATCTTGTTGACAGACCTCAGGAGTGATGATCTGTCAGGGATCAGAAACGTCAAATACAGACATTTCTTAGAGGCAGCACGACCAGTCAGACAGCTGCCGGCTGCACGAATTGCACTCGACCAGAACAAGCATCGCGCAAAAAGATCTACACTCTTCAGCACAGGGGTCAAAGTGTGTCCTCAGGAGAGCATGGCAGAGGTCATCTCAAGTCATAAAGCCTACTACAAACTGAGAGGTAGGACATCCCACACCTCACCTCATGAGGGACTGAGAACTGAAAGTTAGGGCCAAATTTGGCTGCACAGCACATCACCCCATAAATCATAATTAACTTCCCAGTCATCACAAGTCCTCTGGGAGAAGAGGCAACATCAGGAGCAAAAAAAAAGAACAACAACAAAAAAAACAGTGGCTGAGAACCAAGAGAGATAAAAGTAGTTAGTCAACAAGACAATCGTTGTCTCTTTGTTTGCCTTTCAGAAAATGTTTTTTTCACTTTTATGTTTCCTTAGATCAAAGTTAATGAGGCAGAATTGAAGAATAACAAAGCAAGGTCTAATTTGAGTTCATTATATGCCCCAAAATATTAGAATAATGACTGCCTGTTTATTAGGTAAACATTCAAATGAATGCTTGTGACTCCCAAAGAACTGAGATCTACCAACATGTTTTTACATACTGATGATCATGACACAGTAAAACAAACACAAAGTTAATAAGACTGATAACACTACATATTACTGTCTACTGTATTTGTCTACTTTGTTTAGCTTAAGAGTTAAAGGTCAAAAACTGTTCTGACCATCTTTCAGCAAACTACAGATTGCAGTTTATTAAAATTATTTCTTTAACACAAAACAGTCTGCCAGGAAGCAGTATGGGAGGCATTCCAGATTTTTCTGGACAGAGTACCTGACACTGTGGAGTACCAGCAGTGGGTATATGCCTGCCAGAGAGACTCATTGTGTGTGGATGACTTGGCCCGAAACTTCAGCAGCACCCAGGAACACCTTGACATGGTGGCTAGGGTGAGAATATTCTTGCAGATAATAATCATGCATTAACCTTGCAGCTGAACAAATATGTTCTCCTTACTGTGTTATTTCTTCATCCTCAGCAAGTGAGTGCTCAAGAGGAACTGGAGGGGTGAGTACAAATATACAATACTGTGCAAAAGTCTTAGACAACTAAGCAAATTGTTTAAAGCCATTTATCTGGAAAACTGCTAAAAACACAATTTATAATTGTAATGAAAGCTAACAAACATTAATGCACTAAAAGTAACAATAATGGCTTGTTTTGCAATATTAGTATCTTTTGAGATAAATAGAGGAATAGAGGTTTGGTTCCCAACTTCTCTTTGATGACCCCCAGCATCACATGGGTTTGGTTAAAATCCACCACCAGCACACCTGATTTAACCTAATGAAGTACTGATTAGGCAGACCACGTACTCGATGATACAATATTGGGCTTCCTTAAGGAGAGGTTCGGAAATGGTTAAATAAACACATTGACATACATAAAATCAATATGTGTGGTATTAATGTTATTTGTATTAACTCTAACATTAATTTTTTTTCTGAAAAACAAAAAAAACACACTGCCCAGATAAATGACCTTTTAAATATAATTTTCTCAGGTGCCTTTTGCATAGTACAGTTCATCCTTTAGTCTTCAGATAGAAGATGGCATGACACCGAGCATACAAGGCTATCAATAGGGAAAAAGAAAAGCCCAGACTATTAAATATTGGCGGGCAGATTCAATATAAAGTTGTGTAAGAATATCCAGTCAACCACATAACCACTATGAAAGAGTGTAACAATAAAACATGATTTTTAAATATTACTATGAAAATATCCTCAAATATGCTTATGTTTGTTTGTTGTTTTTGTTTTCCTCAGTGCCCTAGCCACATCTACGCCAGGCGAGAAATGTAAGCCTTTGCCACTTATCAAGGGATTGCTAATTATTGCAAAATACTATAAGTAGTGTATTAGGTAACTCATAAGCCCCAATATTTCAGGTTCAAAGACTACTGAAGAGCTACTTGTTACGGAAAAAGAGAAGGTACAGACTATCTCTTTATTTTTCCAAATAACGCACACTTGACTAAAGAATTCTGAATCAGAATGTTGCCTGATTTACTGTTGTCTGAAGACTGGAGCTGTAGGCACTGTCCCTGCAGAGCTGGTAGAGCACATAATCGAGTTCAGTGTGACTGTGGAGGATCCTGGTTACAGCGAGCTACTGACTGACTCTGACACCTTACCCTATCAAGATGTCACCCAGAGCCTTCACGAGCAGGTGAGGTGAAATCTTCATTTTCATAGTCTGCAAATATGTATGCTGAACATACAGCATACAAAATTTGTCTTTCAGATAGAAGTTGATGAGTGGGGTTGTGGGCGAGGTGCCCAGCAGTCAGGCTTTATCATTCTCCAGTAATGCCTATTGTTTAGCAGTGATCACAAGATTCTTTAGACTTGGCAGAATGTTTAGCATACTTTACATTTACGCTGAGCACATACTGCAGAGTTTATGCAGAACAGACTGTCAATAGCTAACACTGATTATTCATTGCTCCGACTGTATGGGCATGGCACTGCTAAACCAGAAATGAGCTTGGAGTTTTAAAGGAGCTTACAGTTAAATGGGGTCAAAAAATGGTAAAGCCAGTTAAGAATTGGGAAACTTCAAAAGCTTGCATGGGATTTGTAGAAATAAAGCTATAGCCCTAGTGTATGATTCTTAGCTAGGCAGCCCGCCTACCAGAAACAATCCATAATGATTTAGGCTGATACTCCTTCAATAATAATAATAATAATAATAATAATAATAGTTGTTGTTGTATTGCGTAAGCCAGTCACATTTCTATATAGGACTCATATGGGTCTTGCTGAAAGATGCTCATTTACCTCTCTGCAGATGCTGCACATTTTCAGCAAACTTCCTGGGTTTAAGGAGGTTCGACTGCTGGGATTCCGGTGAGTTGGAACTGTAGGATTCATCCAGATATTACACTCTACTGAACTTGAAAATTGCCTTTTTGGATGAGTAGTGCTCTTTCACATGGGCAAGTTAGGGTGTAAATAGTTTAGGAAATACACAGCCAATAGTGTCCACAGGCCCACTGCTCCAATTAGGCAATATGTATAGGGACTAATTCAATACCCATAAAATGTATTGCTTGCTGACTTAGGCATTATAGTCAAGATCTCTCAAGGATCCTTATACAGTAATGACAGGTTGATGGCATGACCTGAAATGAATATCTATACCCTAAAATGATTATTTACATAGAATAAATATTACAACAGTTTAAATATATAGATGTTGTATTTACATATAATCGATCTTTGCCTATACAAAATAAATGAGCAGGTCTGGAGGTGATGCACTGCGCTATGCTGTGGTGTTTGAGACAGAAGTGGACTCTACAGGGAAAGAGTCCTCAGAGACAACTGGTGAATCTGGCACAGAAACATCCCTGAAGGACATGGTGGCAAAGGCCCTGAGTGAGGACACGTCCCTGCCTTTGGACATTCATTCCCTCAGCTTTGAACCAGGTATTCAAAAATAGTGCAAGATAGAGGAAGCAGCCTTTGTATGGAATACTGTTGCCTACCATAATATATTATATGTGTATTGCAGAGCTACCAACAGACCATACAAGATATTTACCTGGGGGCATTATTACAAAACCTACAGTGGCCATCACGGAGGAGAGTTTTAAGTCCACTAGCATCTCCACAGGAGATGCAGCTTCTAACAGAACACAAGGGAGGAGAGATGAGGAGGCAGTGGATAACACTACAAAGGAAATATTCAAACAGATGCCTCCTACGACTACGTTAGTGACCATTACAGAGCAACTTCCACCTGAATCAACTAAAGGCTCACAGCTGGAGGAACCTGAGGAGAAAAATCTGATCACAGAGAGAATTCAAATAACTGAAGGTAATTTCTTGTTTATGTTCCACAATACTGTGGAATGCTAATTTCCACAGTGCAAAAAACACATTTGACATATGTAGCAAAAGGTACATTGACAGCCCTTTTAATTAGAAGGTCCAGCTATTTCAGCCAGAAATACTGCTAAGAGGTTCATTAAATCAAGTATATGGGCATGCAACCTCCACAGACGAAAATTGGCAGTAGCTCAGTGAGATTCAGTGTCACGCTGTCATTGCACACCATCTCTCCAACATGTCATTTCATCAAATTTCTGACCATCCTGGTCAACTTTGCTGATTTTGTGAAGTGGAAACATCTAGTCGTGCCAACAGTATCATAAGTGCTTAAGTGTGTAGTGCACAAAAATCATCTGTCCTTAGTTGTAACACTCACTGCCAAGTTCTACCAAGTGCTTTCAGAAGCAATGTCAGCACAAGAACCATTTGTCAGGAGCTTCATGTATTGGTTTACCATGGCCAAGCAGCCACACACAAGCTTAAAATCACCATGCTTAATGCCAAGAGTTGGCTGGAGTGGTGCAAAGCATGCTGTTTTTGGACTCTGGAGAAGTGGAAGCTCATCACCTTATTCTCTGGAGTGATGATTCACGCTTCACCACTTCGCAGTCTGCTGGACAAATCTGTATTTGGCAGATGCCAGGACAACGCTACCTGCCTGAATGCATAGTGGCAGTTATGTAGTTTGGTAGAGAAAGAATAATGGTCAGGGGCTGTTTTTCATGGTTTGGGCTTGGACCCTTACTTCCAGGAACAGCATACAATCATATTCTGGAGAACTATGTATAAAGCAACATCGATGAAGACATGGTGACAAAGTCCTGGCCTCAACCTCTTCATATACCTTTGAGATGATTTTGAACGCTGACAGTGAGCCAGCCCAACATCAGTGCCCAATATACTAATGTTCTTGAGGCTGGATGGAAGGGAATCCTTGCAGCCATGTTCCAAGCTAGTGAAAAGCCTTTCCAGAAAAGTGGAGGCTGATATAGCTGCAAGGAAGCAACCAACTTTGTTTTAGAATGAGATGTTCAACAACCACATATAAAAGTGATGTTTGGATGTCCACATAGTAAGTGTACTTAGGCTACCGCATACATTTAAGAAAAACATATTTAAATAAATAAAAAAAAAAAACATTTTTATGCATGTCCAAAGAAACTCTCTCTTAATACTGTTTTGTTTTGAAGGACTAAAGAGGAATACTACTTTGGATTACCCTTCAAAGACATCTGAAGTCCAAGAGGATCTGAGAAATGAAATTGCTGTCACAGCTGGGTCACCGAACTTGAGCTCTTTTGAAGTAGTAACAGCATCAACTTCTGTTCAGTTCTCAGTGGATTTGGTTACCGTATCAGAAGGTTCACAAACATCATCAGTTACGCCTTCTTTTACCTTCACTGAGGTCCCTAGAGAGCATGTTGTAAGAGGTGATGCTGTTGGACCCGTGGATATTCCTTCAGAAGCTCCATCCTCAGTACCTCCTGAGCCAGACAGTCCTATAGACTACCCTGAGGTACCTAATGTGAGCAAGCCCACTGAGTCAGTAGAGTTCCCATCACTACCCAGCACTACAGAGAAGCCAATAAAGCCTCCTCCACCTTCCACACCCACGCCTGTTTCTCCAGTAGACACACCCTCCGTGCCCTCAGCCATACCAGATGAGAACATCCTAGATGAGGAGGGACAACCTCTCCAGACACATTCCCCTCATCAACCAGAGAGCACACCAGATAATGACATAAACATGCAAGAGGATGTAGAGCAGACCGAAGAAGAAACAGAAACAGGTGACAATCAAGACTATGGCGGCGGATTCGAGCCAGACGAGCACCCGCAGTCTTCAGCACCCTCCCTGGACATGGCTGCCAGCCAGGCCAAAGACCTAGTTGTGTTTTTTAGTTTGCGGGTGACTAACATGGTCTTTTCAGAGGATCTTTTCAACAAAAGCTCTCCGGAATACAAATCCCTGGAAAACACTTTTCTCGAACTGGTAGGTAAACTCACTTTTGTCTTTGACTACTTTTTTCTACATGCCTTTTTGTCTGTTCTTTACTGTTAGCAAAGGATTTTGTTGGATAACATTAAAAGTACAGTGGATGAGAAGTTGCAAATGGTATGAATATCAGAAATTAGTTACTTTATTTTTCTACAAAACTTTGTATTTGTTTATTTTTCTGTAATTTTCCTACCTTGCCTTCCTTCATTGCTTCTGATAGTCTACAGAGCAGTTGCTGATATGTGTGGAAAAGAGTAATATTGATGTCCCCAACCAAGTCCTCAGAAACCTTCAAACAATGTAAATTTTTGCCTTATCCCATCTCTTACTACATTCAAGCTGGTAATCTTGGTGCAACAGGATTTCCTTGGCTCAGGTTTCATGGGTGACAGAATAGAACAAACACCTGGACCTAAGAGTTATCCATTTAGGTTCAGAAGCACTAAATGAAAATGAAATTTATATTGTATTTTATCACTCTGCTGGTTGATTTTTTTCAACTAGAGACAATTTCCTGAACCCAATAACTTGCCAAACCCAGAAGCTTCCAGTAAACAGACTGAGAGGGAACAACGGACATTAGCCTCAATACCGGTACCTCCATACAAGAATTGTCTTTTTTAACCTTTCATAGCAATTAATCTCAGATTGCTTCATCACTAACGCAACTGTGAATAACTTCCTCTCAACCTCAGTTCAAGCTGAGGCCTATATAACTAAATATTTTCACTCTGAATTAATCAAAGCTAAGAAGCAAGTTCTTAAATTTCAGACAGCAAACTCTGCTTCTAAAAACAAACTGTTTTTCTTTCAAACTAACATAACATTCATGTTTCTAAATAGTGTCTAACTAACCTCATTATCACAATTTTTTTTTCTTTATCACCACTGTTGCTTTTATGTACACATACTGCCTTTTATGCATATTGCTCAGGATGTGGTATGTTTGGATCTCAGTGAACAAACAATAATGTACAATAATGCCAGTACACTGTAAAAAAACATGGGGTTTCACTTTAAAAAATAGTGTCCGGGCTGCCTTAAAATTTATTATTATGAGTTATCTAAACTTCAAATGATAAGTTTATAGGACATAAAACAGATATTCCATTAACTTCATTCATTCATTCATTTATCTTCTAAGCTGCTAATCCTCCTGGGTTGTGGGGGGTGCTGGAAACTTTCGACCATACCACCCTGAAAATGCCCAATCTCTTTCCATTAACTTACTATTCAAAATTCAGTTAACTGAAAATTTTAAGGCAGCCCTAACACTAACTTTTTTTAAGTTATGTTTTTAAGTGTACTTTGCTCTAAGATGGGGTGTTTCATATTATATTCATATTCATATGGGTCAAATGATGCTCAAGAATGCAGCTGTATTGCTTCTTCAAAGGAATCAAAACTGTCTGATTTATAAATGGAATGGCATATGTGTTATTTTGTTGTATATAAATTATACAGTAGAATGAAATAGTGTAGTACAGAACCCAAAGAGCAAGCCAAAACCTGACTACAGGGAATCTTGTCTACTACGTTTAAGATGGGCTAATGAAAGCCTGGCAACTGTTTCCTCTTATAGAAATAAAAAAAGCAAAAGAACAAAAGAAAGACATAAAAAACTACCTATTATATGCTGTGTATGTGTGTATATTATTATGAATAGGTTATTTGTTGGAAAAAAAACTAAAATCTAAAAGAATGTGAATGACTAAACAGCTTATGTGTACTGACTCGATAAAGCATGTTTGGGGGTACTGTCTGGTGAATGGGCTCTACTGGTTCTCTAAGTTCTGCTTCACTGAATGGATGAACTACATCAGTGATTTGATGAAGTGACTAAGAGGATTACGCTCAATACTGGTCAGGCAGTAAAGTCCGTATTTTGTGGACTATCATGAAAAGGCTTTCTTGAAGCACATTTGCTATTTACTGAGGCACTCTTGGCATGACAGGACTGAGATGGTGTGTATCAGGTGACTAAACACTATGCCTCATTGCTGAATGACTGCATAAGAGGCTTTGCATAATGCTACTCCATGCAAACAGTATGCATGCCATAAAAACCACATGAACTAAACAGGTTTCCATTTATAAAGGGGAATTCCAACATTTTTTTTTTCATTTTCTGTAGAATTAAATTATTAAGATATAAATAAAGTCATTCAGAGTGGATTGATGTGAAATGTGCACTCTAAAGAAACTTCCTGAGCCAGAATTGCTCACAGTGATGGTAACAGGATTGAGAAAACTGAAGCAGTATAATGTCTCAAAAAGCTATCTCACAGAAAGATATTATGCCATGCTTTAGTAACACGTAGAATTTGGCTTGACGTTGTCATGTTGAAATAAGCATGGACATCCATGAGAATGATGTTGTCTCAGGCAGCATATGTTGCTTCAAAACACGTAAATATTTTTCAGCATTAATTAATGGGGTGACTTGCACATCTTCACAGATGTGCAAGTCACCCCATGCCATTGGCACTAATACACCTCCATAACATGACAGACCCTGGCTTTAGACCTTCACGCTGGTAACAATATGAATGGTCCTTTTATTCTGTGTCCCAGAGAAAACAACGTCCATTGTTTCCATAAACAACCTGAAAGGTTGACTCGTCAGACCACAGTACACATTTTCACTGTGCATCAGTCCATTTCAGATGAGACTGAGCCCAGAGAAGCCGGTGGCATTTCTGGACATTGTTGACATATGGCTATTGTGCACAGAACAGTCTTAACCTTGGATGCAATAATGAACTGTGTTCACTGATAGTTTGTCAATGTATGCTTGAGCCCATATGGTGTTATCCATCACAGAAGTATGCTGGTTTTAAATGTAGTGCTATCTGAGGGGTTGACAGTGAGAATTCAGGCGTAGTTTTTGGCCTTGTCCTTTACAAACACAGATTTCTCCGGACATCCTGAATCATTTGATGATATTATGCACCTATTAAAGACATAAATCACTTTTTTAAATCACAAGACACAATCACTCATTGCTCCTGTTATAGATGTTTTTTGAACATCTTATGAAGTTCTTAGACTTAATCTGCCACTATCTTAACTGTTTCGCAACATGTTGCAGGCATCAATTTTAGAATGAGCGTATATTTATAAAAAAGAAAGTCAAAAGAGAAAATGTTAAATATCTTGTCTTTGCCCCATTTTCATTTAAATACAGGTCAAAGTGGATTTAGCGCTTTCTGTTTTTATTTGTATTTCATAATATGTCCTAACATTTTTGGAACTGGGATTTGTAAAAAGAAATGTGCTTACTAATCATTTTGGAAGTGTTTTTAAATAAAAAGGCTATATATGTGTTGTAGACATTGCGACCCCAAGTTCCTACCAATTTTGTAAAGAAATCTGAGTCAGTAAGTTTCTCTTCAAAGATCCATTTCACATCAAACCATTGCAAATTGCATTGTTTACGTCTCAATAACTGATTTGTGTAGAAATTTTGAACAAATGGTGGACTTCAGAAAGAAATATGTATTATATACAAAGAGACAATTTTATTACACAGTTCAATGAACATATACTCATCATTGCAAGTTCCTTATAATTATACAATTTTCGTAAGTCCTGTATGAGTTGTTTCTACATATGCTGTTCTTTTAGTGTAGTTTAAATTTTACAGATTCAGCCAAAATGACAAGGAATATTAAATATTATTGAACTAGGTGAGCATTCTAATATAAGAAAGCCAGTATGTGTGTTAATCCACTGTGTGTTATTCTAATATGAATTAACAGCATGTCTTCCTCCAACAAATTCAATGTAATCTGCGGTAGGAGAAAGACAGAAACTCCATTTCCAATTATAAGTGGTTGCCCAAACTAGCTACGCAGTATTATGTTTTAGATACCAATGTGTGGAAATTAACTGCAAAATTTAAAAGTGATCAGAAGTTGATCTACACTGGTAAGTAGCAAAAGACCACTGAAGCAATTTTAAATCATAAATGGGCTTTAAGTAATTTTATAATTAATAAAATACGTGTTATCCTTCATGAAATTTGAATTCAACTTTCTAAAAACTCAGGCTGTCAATGGCAAGAGAAACACCACCACAGCCCATTTATAATTCAACACTATAACACTGTAGTTTTTGTTAGAATATTAGACATCTGATATCTTAACAATAGCATAACCCAGCATTTCTGCGTATTCAGACCTGTAGCCCCCTATAGACCCTTTTTTACTCCTGTCTCTACTGGTCTGAGTAGCAACCATTGTGACTGGACATGGAGAACAAACATTTTCACACATTTGTGAAAGTCAAGGACTAAGGTAAATGTTAATATTACACCGAAAAAGCCCAGAATAGGACTGCTTTGCAAGGCATTCTAAAATCAACCAGTAGATACAAGTGTAACTTACACAACAGTGTGCTCATTTGTGTTAGATAGCAAATTGTTCCATAGGTCAGTACATAAAATAGGGGGAAAACCTGTAGAACAATGTTTTCTGAGATTCTGAGACAGTTCATGGCTTGCACTATGGGTGTTTTAAGTACTCTGCTGTCTAATAGATGTTGGAGCATGGGGTGCTTTGTACAGGAGAGTTCCATCTGTGCTGCACTGGCACTGTGCCTTAGAGGTGAGAGATTGATCTAGACTGGCTGATCAGTTGAACCTCCTAATGCAGATTGTTTCCTGGTACATGGGTCTTGCTGAGCTAAAGCAACATAATCCCACCTCCTTCCTTACGGCATGTGAAACGTTTTTAATTCGTTGTTAATGGTGATTGATGACTGATATTGTAATCCTTGGCATATCGACAGTAGAATATATAAAGTCTAGATTTCTATGTTCTTTAAGAGACTTGAGAGTAATATTGAGAGAGTGAGTTTAACCTGAAAGATTCCATCTTTCTTTATTCCTGTTCTTTTCTTCCATATCCTCAAAACAAGTCATTCCTCTGCTTATCTGCTCATCAAATGTTCTGACATTGCCTGCTAAAAAATAGATTTTATCGCTGTCATTTCAAAACCTTGTAGCTCAAAGTTTTTATGCTGCTCTTTATGAAGACCAGAAGAAATGGTCCAAAATTATTTGGAATAAAAGATTAAGAACAATTTCCTACTTTTTTTTTACACATTTGGAAGAATGTACAGATTCAAAGATATAAATCTGAAATGTGCACATTTGCACCTTCATCAGCCCAAAAATTCTGTCTGAGGCTCAGCTGACCTCAAAGGTACAATAGCTAAAATTAGGCTCTTGAACTCTTTGCGCTCTTTGTACAAGAGTGGAGCCTCAGCTTTTCATGCTCTAAATTCTCCTGAACAACTTGGAGCATAGTGAGAATCTCTGCTAAGGCTCTCTCCAACATCTCTCCTTCACATATACTGCCAAGTGAGCTGTAGACAGAATGATCCAAGAGGTGTTTTATGTACCACCACGCTAAAGTAAACATTAAGATACTCATACAAAAAATGTCTACAGATGCTTCAGTTAACAAACTACCTGCTGAAAGTCAGTTAATTTTTAACAGCATTAGGGTTAAGGTTAAGATTAGAACTAAGGTTGGGTTTGGGATTAGGTTTAGATTTTGAGATGAGGTTAAGTTTAGCGTTACAGTTACTGTTCCATTTAGGAAAAATTGAAAGTGATGTTAATAGATATTAGGTTGAATGTAAGTTAATGACATGGAATAATTCTACAAAGCATATCCAGTGGGCTATAAAAATAAAAGGTTCTAACTGGAAAGGTGGGTTCTCTGAGCAGGAAAATCACTAAATCGTGGGAAATCCATGCACTTAACCAACAGAACTAACAGAACCACTAACTAACAGAAAAAAGCTAACAGAGAGGATATTTATCTCTCTATTATTTCCTACCTCAACACCTTCAAGTTCTGTTAACACTGGAAGCAGAAAGATTGCAGCATATTCAGGCAAAACTAATCAGCTCAACATCTACACATTAGATCAAAGTTGTTCTACACTGTATTGACTCATATTTCCTTTCGTTTCTTCAGCTTCTTCCATACCTGCAGTCCAATCTGACTGGCTTTAAGGAGCTGCAGATTCTCAACTTCAGAAATGGTAGCGTGGTGGTAAACAGCAAGATGAAGTTAGCCAAACCGGTGCCATATAACGTCACAGAAGCTGTGCACTGCGTTCTTGAAGACTTTTGTAACGCCGCATCCAAAAGACTGGACATTGAAATCGACACCCAGTCAGTGGATGTTGCAGCAGGTAAGGAGATGGCAGGTAAGAGAACTTACACAATATAAAAAGTGTTATAAATTAACATTTTTAGATGTTTTATTCAATATTTCAAGAGTTTTGAGTCATGTACTGTAAACTATACATTGTAGTTATCTGCGTCCAATAACATACCATAACAGGCATTTAGGATGCTACATTTATTACAACTTCATTCTCAATGTTATGGAGCATTAGCAGCCTAATCAGCAGAATCATCTACAGCTAATCATCTACAGCTAAACATCTAAAATGTTTTACTAATTAATGAGCTATGAAACTCCACCAAAATAGCATTTCACATCTTCTTCAGAGACCAGACTGGTTTTATATTTTTGAAAATGTTGATTCCAAACTTTTGAATGGTAGTGTAGTTTGTGGAATCTGTAATGATATTAATGAATCAGAACTTAATGAAGAGAAGCATCTCTGTCATCAATCTATTTTCCTTGTCCTCCAAAGCTGATGATGGTGATCCATGCAAGTACATGGACTGCAACAAATTCTCTCGCTGTGTGGTGAACACGCTGACCGCTGAAGCTGAGTGTCTGTGTGATCCCGGCTACAGCACCGTGGATGGGCTGCCCTGTCAAAGCATCTGTGACATTCAGCCTGACTACTGTCTGAATGGGGGCCAATGTGAGATCATACCAGGACATGGAGCAACCTGCAGGTACCTGAAAACTCTGACCAAGATTTCTCCAATGTAGCTGAGAAGATTTTCTTAATCTTAAGGTGTATTTCTTCCCTCATTCTCACTGTGTAACTTTACAGTATGTGTTGCTCGGTGATATTTCAAAACAGGCACACGTGCTTGACTCCTCTAACATTTCTTCTCTTAACCGTTTTTAGATGTCCTGTAGGTAAATTCTGGCACTATCATGGAGAGCGCTGCAATGAACTGGTGTCTTTGCCAGTTGACCCACTCCTTTTCGTAGCCTGCCTGGTGGGAAGTCTCACCATGGTTTGTGCTGTGATAGGCATCTTGATTTTCATTAACAAGAAATGTATACGGACGAGGAAGACGGTGACACTAGTGTAAGCTGGTTTTTGATTTTCCTTCTTTTTGTTTTGGATGGTTTTATTGTTATTTGTTTGTTTTAGACTTTTGCTCTTTCTTCACATATAGTAATCTGCAATGGTGAACCTTCTGCCATGTTAAATGGTATTGAAAACATCTCCTTTAAATTATAGGCATTCACACTCCTCCCTCCCCTTTGAGGGCACTATGAGAGTGAATCCAGGTTTTGAGAATGACGAGGGTATCTTGACTCATGTGTCAAGCATCAGCTATCCCATGAGCACTGACTCTGGGTCTTCTCAATTTTCTGACCAAGGCACATTTCGGTCATTTGACAACATACACCTTAGTATTGAGGTAAAGTGCATGTCTCGAAGGCTATTCTAAACTAGATCTCGTAACTAACTCATTTCATCAGCAGTCTCCTGAGCTGCACTAATCCATGCAAAACTGAACAACTCACTGCCAGGTTTACAGCAATTATGAGTAACAGCTTTGGTGATTATGATGTAACACCACACAACAATTATGTCACCATGCTACCTATAAATACGTTTGCCCAGACAGTCATTATTTAATACAAATGTAAATAACAGGTAGTGGTGAGAGTATACCATGCAGTCATGTTGCTGAACTACTCTGAAAGAAAAGATACCCAACACAGGAATGTGTTCTTTCAAAGTAGTTTACCACAGATTATTAAAGTAATAAGCTCAAGCACAGTATAGTTTCATCATAAAGATACACCTCATACAACCATCCCTCAGTGCTCAAGCTACCCAGTTGTGGTCTATCATCACCATCACAGCAGATGTTCTCTGTTCTCTTCTGTCCACATTTTAGTTGTCAAGATGGTTGTATGAAGCTGACTAAATAAGGCAGAGAAAAGAGGAACTAAAAACTTACTATTTGATTATCCTCAGTGCGCTGAAGAGGCACAGCTCCATTACCCGAATCCTGCTTCCTTTTCTCTTAGCTTGCCAGGTTCAAATGCTGCCTTGCTGATCTATTCATAAATAAAAAAAAGACAATCCTAATTGGTATCCTCACCATAATACCTGGTAGGGATACAAAGAAGACACTTCTGTTGTCTGTTTACTTCTTCATGTTATTATCTAATATTAAAAATCCATATTTCAGTAATGCGTAAACATGTAAAGTCAGCTGGTATGATATACATTGTACAAACATTGCACTGTTGTTCTGGTTGTTTGTACACTAAAAATGCATTTCTTAAAAAGAGAATACTCAAAATGACTGCACTGCATGGGTCTTTGCTTTCATTTAGATTATGCATTTGTAGTTGCCTTGTAGTAACTAACAATAATCAGCATCTCTTTTGCAGCATGTTGCTACCCAGAAGCAATGTCTCTTTGGACTAACATATAGTGCCCAAATTCTGCTTCCTTGTCTCTTAGCTTGCCAGGTTCAAATGCTTCCTTGCTGATCTATTCGTACATTTTCCTTAAATTCACAATAGCATATGATTCTATTTACAGATGCCCAGACAACTCTACGCAAGAAGGTCAGAAAAGTTAGTGCCAGAAATGGTTGATTTCCACCACTGTATACCACATCATGAGGTAAGCCCATACCTTTATTAAACAATGACTTGTCACGTTAGAACACCAATTTCCAGGCATGAGGTTGAACAACCCTCCAATGCACATGGGAATTACACAGTATAGTGTTTTATATACAACAACATTCAACTTAGCTAATAAACAGCCCTCACAGTTTAAAATGGGTGTATTAAAGCAAAGTAATTTTACTAGGCCCCGTTACCTTGCAAAAAACAAGCTTGCAAGGACAAGAGAACAAAGAATGCACTAAGAAAAGTACATTATATTGCACAATACTAAAGGCCTAGCTGATTTCATTAGTGGCACACTAACAGAATAAAGGCTTATTACAATGGAACATAAAAATGCTTCTACACAAAACAAACGACTAAATCATGCCTGATATGTCTGCTTATCCAAAATAAATTTGTTTTTTTGCATTACTAATTTAAAAATAAACTGTTAGAAAGTGCTATTATGGTGTTCTAACTGAAGCAGCTTCATGAGTTATTGCAGTTATTGGTCTAATTGGCTATTCCATCACCATGGTGTTGAATTACCATTTGATTTCACAATTGATGTTTCAGGATATTTGGGTCAGATTACTGGCATATCCAGATATTTCAACTTTTCTCCATACGAATGACAGGCATTTCATACTATAACATAAAAAATACAGTAATTGACTACCTAGAAATTACAATAGGTGTCACGTGCACAGCCCGAATCAATGGTTAAGTGAAAGTATTAGTACTAGGGTAAAACAATGGCACGAGTAAAAGTACTTTTCCAAAAAACTATTTAAGTAGGAGTACAAGAGTATCAGGTCAAAAAGCTACTTAGTGACTGAGCAACTTACAGAACTGCAGTGAACTTCTTAGTAAATCCATCATTAGTCAGCATAGGAACTAAAGGTTGTTACACTATATCCTTCTCTTTTTTGGATTCTTTTGGTCCAAAAAAATTGCTAAATCTCCAATGTTAGACATGTGACCAACCACAAAGAGGTACAGAAGCTGTCAAAAATGAAATAAAACACACAAAAAAGAAATTAGTAACTAAATATGAATGGCAAAAATGTAACTGTAAAAAGTACATTTCTTTACTCACTCAACATACTTGAGCAGAAATAAAAGTAGTATGATTTAAAAATAACCAGGTAGAGTACAAATCCATCAACATTTTACTTAAGTAAAGACTTAAGTTAATGTAAATAGTTACTACCCACCTCTGCATGTGCATTTATTCAAGCACAAAGATAAAGCATAAAAAAGCTGTAACAACAGAGATTTTAGAAATATCTTTTCATTACCAAAAGTATTTGCCTGCACTCTTTCAAACTAACAACTTTTATATAACTTTTAACATAACATGAACAGACAAAGACAATTTACTTCATGACAACGACTGGAAAAAAATACAACTGACAGCACTACTTACATTCACTACCATAGTAGTAAGCGCACTGCTTTGCTAATTTAGCTATAGCTATCTAACTACAACATGGCTCAGCTAACAGCTAATTATTTCATTAGCAATCTAAGTTTAGCTATTTAGCATAGTAAATTGGGTAACGCTTGAAAAGTAAAAAACTTAGTTTGAGACAATGTTGTCTATCACTCAGTCATCAAACTACTTTTATGTTATGAATACACAGAGGTGGGTCATCCAGGTCCAAAAAGTAAAAACCAGCCCCAGGATTTTGTTCCAACTGCCTGAACACCTTCGCTGCTGGTTTGAGCAAACTGGAGAAATCAAGCAGTTGGAACAAAATCCTGGGGAGGGTTTTTACTTTTTGGACCTGTATTACCCACCTCTAGGAATACAACGTTATTTTCTATGAGAAAATACCTGCAGAGGTGGAAGGTGCTCCAAAGTTCGCTGTGCTCCTTCACATGAGCTCATTAAGGAGAAGGAAAAGTTCAGCGATAATTTAATCTTGATCCGATTCACCCTCTTCACCTCTGACTGCAGTGATGATTCTGATTTTTAAAAATCAGTAATTTATCAGCGCTGTCATGCTATCTCGGTAGCCATTATCCATACAATCTTGACATGTAGATAATAACTGTAAGTGTTCTGTGAAAGTAAAAACATTACACTGCTAGTGAAAAAACGCTTCCTCCTACGTCTTGCAGCATCTCTGATGTCCACTGATATGCTAACAGCTTTCCTGACAGTAAGGTACAAAAAAAGCAATGTAAATAACACCTTTTATCCTCTCATTCTACTGTGGCGTCGGGGCAGAACGAAAAAGCGCGGGAAACACTGCGCTTCAACAAAGGCTTTTCTTATTTAACACTCCAATTAAAGGACTCGCCGTTTAGTATTATGAACCTGAACAGGATAGCCGGTAGGTCACTTCTAGCCCTATACACACGTAAAACTCTCGCTCTTCATTGCATTAACAACACAACTTATTTACAAATACAGTCTTTCTCACCACTACCGTGGCGCTACCCATGGTGCTCCGCGCTCACCGTTCCGTAAAACCACGCCTCCTGCGCTTCAACGGCCGAACGAGCCCGTAGCGGGACGCTGCAGTGTTTATCCACAGCTCTTTCCAAATGCAGCCAGCTCTGTAGAGTATTTGGCTTCTTTTGTAGTTATGAAGGATGACAGGAGGAGGCAGTTTTTTTCTATGATTACTGCACTAAATAGTCCTTGTCGTAAAATCCACCAACTAATTAATAAAAAAGTTTTATTATTATTTTGTTTTTGAACATCCAGGTAATGCACAGAGAGGAAAACAACTTTTCAAAAAAGTACACACCCTGTTGGGATTTAGGTTGAAGTCCAAGCAGTGGCATATGCCCAGCAGTCACACGGGATCATAAAGAGCACAATTAGCTTCTCTTTCAGAAAAGATACTCTCTCAGCAGGCTTTGAAGTAATTTAATGTAATTAACACATTTCTTTCTCTTCACTTCTTTGGTCTGCACTAAAGCTATGATGCTAATATAATAGAAGTCACAGAAAAACACGTCACGTTCTGTTTTAACACTGCTTGTCAGGGTTGGGATGTAGTGGAATATAAGTATTGGCAATACATATTTAGAATATAGAAATTAAATATCTGTATCCAATCCAAGATACATTTAGTGAAGGTAGTATTCAGAAGACAATTACTTTTTCCATCTTTAGAATATTTTAAAAATACTTACCCAAATAAAAAAAATAAAACAACATACAGTTTTCAAAAGAGTTCCTGCTAAAGCCTTAGTAGACTGATAAATCAACGTGGTGAATCAGTTATTTATCTAAGCCTCACTGAGCTCTTTTGAGGGATGATCAAACTAATAATCTCTTCAGTAGAGGACGTTTCCGCCTTGGTGTTGTACTGGATTGAAGCAGGCAATAAGAAAGAGCATGTTAAGAATTTCGGAACTTCATGGTAAATACATTTTTCCACAGAACATTAACAGAAAAACCAGGACAAAAAACTGCTAACCCATGACAGTAAATTAAGTTAAAAGAAAAAAAAAAGGTATGTTTTCCCCATGTGCTCGTACTTTTTATGTATTAAAGGAACATGTTACTGAATACATTTAAGACAGTGTATTTAGTATTCAGCCATCACTACTTTTTCAAAGTATTTTGCCCAATCATACTTTCTCTTTACATAGAGTGATTTCTTGGTTTACACTGTCATTATTTATTCATTTATTATTTGCTTTATGTGTAGTTCACCGTTCAGCCATGTAAAAACAGTGTCAAGAGCACCTATTTGTGACAACTTTTCAAAGAAGTTGCTTCAAGAGCAGCCTTATCCTCTATCAAGGACATCTGGTGATATGTCTTAAGATATGTCATGTATCTCATGGTGGGTTAAAGCCCACTCTGAAGGTCAGGGAAGGTTGTTCTCTCTCAGCTCTACTTAGTTACTTAATGCCACATCAGCTGTAAGTGGATGACATTTTAACCTCAGAGTTACATAACAGGGGATGGTAAGCTGTTTTTTTTTTAAGCTGGTTTGTATCCATGATCTTCTGCCGTGCTATGACGATTTTTTTTTACACATGAATGACTTTATAGTTGAAATGAATGGCTTAAAGTTGGGATGAAGTTGGTCAACCCTTTGTATTTTTCAGACATGGCGGCTGTCTAATGAACACAGGACCTCATGTTGTCTTCTGAGGGGACCAGACAGTGAAGGGTTTGAAGTGACCGTTTTATGATGGTAATCTGATGAGCTCAACTTGGCACCAAAGGTCTTCAGTGGTCTTCCAGGCAAACCATATTCAACTCTGTTGGCTGTAGATATTTGGAATATGTATGGTAACACAACCTATCAACAATCAACCTGGCTGTTAAATGAACATGCAACTGGACTCTTACCAGAGGAAGCATTGTTTGAGACTTGGGATGGGTTGGATGTTTTGTACCCTTGTCAAAGGTTCATTTTTTCCCTCACAGTGAGGTATTTATTTACAAATGGATACATTTGGTGGCAATATAGATTGTATTACTGAAACAGTATTCTAACCTCTCTTCAGGCTCCCAAAAAAGAAACTGAATGTAAAATAAGCTGTTAAATTTTTATGGTTGTTATTTAAACCTTTTAAACTGTTCAGACGGTATTTAGATCTAAGATGCTACTGATGATGTTAGAATAACTAATAACCTTGTATAAAAAAAGGAAACCCAGCTTTTGCATGGAAACGTTTCTCACCAATCACTTGTGTTTTGAAACCCAGACCAAAACACACAGGGGGATGAGGATTGATTTTTTTATTTGCTTTTACAATGAACAGAACAAAATAAAAAAGAAAGAAAACAAAGATTTCACAGCAAAGGTGTGTTTGTGTTGCAGCTCTCTAAGGATTTATTGTATTGTGTGTACCTAGTAAGTGGGGGATTTCGAATCATTGCATTGTCACCAACAAGCATCTGTCAAATATGAAAGCACAGTACACATTTTTTGGGACAGAATACATTTATTTCAACCCAAAAAACACTAGAATGCATATTTCAAGTAAGTCAGATCGTCTGTGTGGGCAATAAGACATCAAGTTTGGTTATTAAAAAGTTGGGATGGCAATGCGGGCCTCTATCCTGCTTTTCAAGTGGATAATTAAAATGAAATTACATTAAGGACCTTTGTGATTTTAAAAGCAAAAAGATGTTCGAGGTGTGACTTAATTACTGTCTTTCTATTGCTGTATAACACATTTGTTAGGAAAAACTGGTTTATTAGGACTACTGGCACAAACTAAAGTGTTCATTGATTTGTGCATTAACAAATACACAAATGAGGCAAGAAGTCTAAAGTCTACCTATAACAGATTTTACAGACTGACTGTACAGGCATCCACATCACCTCCTACAAATATGCCCTACAGTATGCTTTTTGAAGTGGGGAAAAATGCTGATATAATAAATGCATTCTGTAAGACAAGGATAACTATATAGATAGATAACCTGTAGTTTTCTCAAATCCCAAGAGACGGCATGACAAATAATCACACTAATCCAAGGACAGTCATGGGTCCACAAAAGTGAAGTTGCAAAGAAGTAAACTGCTCATTTTCAGATAATTAATCATCAGCGTATTTTAGGGCATCTTCGGGGTTGAAAACATTTTCAAGCAAAACAACATTTTTTCCCTCACTCCAAAGGCAGAGCACTGAGCAAAATTAAATTGCCCCCAAGTCTTTTAGGAACAATGGGAACGACAGAATAATGATGTAAATACCTGAAGTAAATCAACAGCCTCAAAACGAGTGACCTACTGAATAACCCTTGAAATGACAGAGAAAGTATTAAGGCATTACATTTGAGAGCTTGAGCAAAGCTCATATTTTTGTGAAAATGCAAATTGAAAAAATGCAAATTACCACAGCAAAATGAATACCAACCAAAACAAATAACAAGTGACAGAAATCACTCAGTCTCAAAAAAAAAGAAAATGAAAAAATCTACAGTAGATCATAATCCCTTATTGAAATATGAGCATGTCCTAGATATCCACTGTGCCAGAGAGGTTCCTCATTCCTTTGTTTAACCTATGGTGCACTATTGCATTATCTACCTGTCCACAGACAGTGAGGACTGATAGGGAGCCATAGAATTGAGGGTGCTCTTCACTTGAGAAGATTCTGGAGCATGGCAGTGGCGTAAGTGGGCCGGGCCTGTTTGCTCTCGATGGCGTTCCTCAGGTACTGAATTCCACCGCAGCGCTCCCAAATCTCCTCAAACTGCCGCGGCAGAATCTCTGCTCCTCGCTTCCTCGTCAACCCCGTCTCTTCCAGACTCAGCTCACACATCTCCATATCATCCTTACCTGAGCATATAGCATAGCATGCTTGTAATCAATCTGAAACACTTGCCAACACTGTGCATTAATAAATCAACACATTTCATTTTGTAGATCACATATTTTTGGATGCAGAATTCCATAATCCTTAAGTGCAAGTTTTTTTTTTCTCCAATCATTTATACACACCTTGGGCCATTAGCGACTCAGCACTTACATCAAACACAAACTGATCTACAAACCACCTAGGGGCCAGACGTGATCTCGTAATTAAAAAAAATCTGGGGACAACCATGAGAAATTTTGGAATAAACGTGGGTAGTAAGGGGTGATGGTGCGCTCGTCAGCATTGCTTGACAAAGAACAAGCCCGTTGTTAGTTGTAGCCAAAAATCACATATATGGTAAACCACGACGCAGCAAAAAGTGATACAGTTCTTGTCTGTGTAAGTCTTGCATCATCGTCTCCCAGGACAACAGCAGCAGACTCTACAGAAATTGCCGGAAGCTAGCTGAACAAACCCAAAAACAAAACTTGCTTCCTAAAATCAGCTTATCGGAAAATGCGTGTTTAGGCTCAAAGTAGTCACAAGACCATAACAATCACAATAATGTCCACAAGTCTGATGTAATCTTGAAGGGAAGAAAAACAATTACTAAAATTTAGTGAAATGGGCAGCATTTCCTACCGGAGTGAATGGGACTCGAGTCTTTGTGTAATGGGACCACATTCCAGGAAATATTTTTATATACATCTCGGCAGCTCTCACTTCAAGAATTCTCTCTGATGTAAGGTAAGTTAGCATGGCTGAAAAGGTCCTGCATTAAGCAAGTAGATGTGTGTTGAATGTGTCAAAATCACATTACATACAGTAAAAATAACCTCTTGCAAGGCAAAAACAGTTCCATTAGCCAACAACAGCTAATGTGTTATCGACAGTACTCTGGTAACTGGACATTAAAACATCACCGATTAGAGGAATTTGGTGGGCGGGTTTTAGAGGGGACATACCCTTGTTAGTGGCAGATTTCCAGCACCAAAAAATTCACGTTGTCCCCAGATATGGATACTCCTGGCCCCACAAGACTACAAACTGCCATGATAGTGTATAACTGTCAGAATATTTTATTGGGAATAACAACAGTAAAATATAGTACATACACATATACTATAATGTAAAATATAGTTTGTTACATTACATTTCTAATGTGACAACTACTTCTCTCATTACAGCCATGGACAAAAAGTTAAAAAGGTCACTGACTCTCCTTGTTAAAGGCTTATGCTGAAACATACTCTAAATGTATGTTACTCTATATGTTGTATTTTATATATTATGCTTATCTGATAATGGAAAGAGGAGTGGATGATGTCAAGGGTCGCTAGTAGGGGTGGGAATCTCTAGGCACCTCACGATTCGATCACAATTCAGAGGGCTGCGATGCGATTATACAACGATTATCGATGATTATCGATTTATATTTTCTCACTGAGCTCAAGTTTCAAGTTTATTTGTCATTTGCACAACAAGTCAGGACATTTATGCATTGAAAGGCTTGTGGTGAGGCTCAGCTAATCACTCTACAGAAAGTAAATAAGTAAAAATAAAAATACAAGAAAAACCAACTGAAATATATTAAATATACACAAAATATACACAGAATATAGAGACAATATACATTTTAAAGTGACTAAGTAACTCGGTGTTATTGTTATTTAAAGTGACTTGGTACTTTTAAAGCAAAGTATTTGTAATGATCCATAATGAATTTACTTCCAATATCTTTTTTAATAAAACAAATGGAAGTGATGTGGCAAGTGAACTAGAAAGCTCTCATTCAGTGCTCTTGGTTGGAGCACAAGAAGCTGCTGCTACTCATCTGCAATAAAATGCGCAGTTACGGTGAAATAAGATCCAGTGGTAATGGATGTCCACGCAGCACGTTACAGTTATTCTACCCGTTTTCTTTAGTGATTTTAGAACTTCGGTTTTGGTCTCGTTGTAGAGAGTTGGGGGATCGCTGTGTCAGTAAAATACCGCGTGAAAACCCTGTTTTGCGACGACTGAGAACCGGCGTGCAGACTGCAGGTCACATAGCAGCGATGCATTATTCGCATTTATAAGCAGCGCAGTTGGTTTCCTGGCAAGTTAAATCTGCAACGAGAGACTGTCACACACTAAAAAGTGGCGAAGCTGAAGTCGCTTCTCTTTCGAATTCTCCCAATCCATCTTAAATGGTGCCGCATGTACATTCGGCGCCTCAGTTAGAATTTAAGGTGGAACGGGTAAATTCGAACAAGAAGCAGGAGAATAAGAAGCAACTTCAACCTCGTAAAACAGTCGTTGAGAGACATTTTACAAGAAAATTATCTACTTCTGAGGAAAAGTTTTCTGGTGGAGATGGGAGGAAAGCGGCTATTGCTGAAGCTTAAAGCAGAGCGAAGTAAATCTGCGTTTTCGTTTATATTGTTTAGCCTATACTTGGACATCAGCACATACTGAGACATACTGGACATTAAATGTTGTGGCTCACAAGGTGGTTTGATTTTTGTTGAAAGGACAAAATGTCTCTTCTTATCATTTGTGTTGTGACTCCTGACCTAACCTGGCTTTTAATGCAGAGGGAGCCGGTCGGATTTCTCGCACTTCCACTGTTTTTATGTGCCGCCACAGACTGTCCAGGCTCTGCACTTCCGCACTTCCAAGTTCCGCCTTTTGCGTTCTGTCAACATCACGTTATAAATTAAATATTTAGAAAATCGATTTTTGACATTTGTGAATCGATTCAGAATCGTTCTCGTCCGCATTGCGATGCATCTAAGAATCGCACCCCTAGTCGCTAGTAACTCAGGTATGAACTTAAGAGTTAAGTAGTGATATGTTCAGGTACCTGCTACCAGCAGAATAGGCTGCTTGTCTGG